AAAGTAGTCACCCTTACAGTCTACGACTTCCCTGTATCATACTCCGATGATTACTTCCTAGAAATAATGGGTGAAATCGGACATGTGAGAACCTTCCAAGACCAACAACTCCCGGGCACCCATGTCTACAAAAGAATAAGAGAAGTGGAAATAGAGATCCAGAACAAGAAATTCAAAGATATACCCCAAGTAATAGTATTAAAAGCACATTACGGAGATGCCAAAGTACGAGTAGTAACACCAGGCCAACCTTCTCCATGCTTCAGATGCGAGAAGTTTGGCCATTCACGAAGAGAATGCCCTCTCCGGGCCCCTGAAAATGACAAGAAAAAGAAGACAGCTCCAATAATCCCAACAGTCCCACCAACCACAGTAAAGACAGTACAAAACAGCAAGTCAAGAGTTCCAGAAAATAAACCACCAGTAACCCAGTCTCCACCAGTCGAACCAAAAGCTCCAAAAAGAAGAAGAGAGGATGCAGCCAGATCAACATCAGAAAAATCAGACTTTGAATTTACTAAACCAAGACCCCCTCCATTAAAGATAAACGAAAGTAATATTGAAATACAAGAATGCAGCTACCATCCCTCTACGTCAACACCTCGCGACATAAGTTTTGATATTAATATCCACAGTATAATCAGCAACAATAGCACATTCGACGACTAAAAAAATATATAACACGTGATTGTCTGCGATATCACTTCGGTGGAAGCGGACGTAAAATACAACTAACTCATCATCATCAAGAAGGATAGTGCGGCTGGTGAGGACAAAGTAAAGTACTCGATGCTTAAACATCTGCCTAGAAATGCCAAAAGGATACTACTAAACTTCTTTAACACATCTTGGCTGGCAGGAGAGGTACCTAAAGAATGGCGGAAAGCCAACGTCATCCCTCTTCCAAAACCAGGTAAAGAGAGAACAAAGGTAGAGTCCTATCGACCAGTAAGTTTGACATCCACACTGTGCAAAACCTTGGAAACAATGGTTAACATACGACTACAGTTCTATCTGGAGAGCAACCGACTGATCGACGAAAATCAAAGAGGGTTTAGGAAAGGGCGTTCAACAACGGACCACTTGGTGAGACTACAGCAAGTCATGTCACAGGCACTCCTCTCTGGGAACCTGTTATGTGTCGTGTTCGTAGATTTAACTAAGGCTTTCGATTTAGTCTTCAAGTTAGGACGTATTGGTATAACGGGCATAATGTTTCGGTGGATCAAAAGCTTTCTGAGCGATAGAAGGATACAGGTGAATGTTGGCAGATTCCTGAGTGCCGGGCAAACATTAGAAAATGGCACGCCTCAGGGGTCGGTTATCAGTCCCACTCTCTTCAATATCATGATCAACGACATACAGAAATCTTCCTACCTCGACGCCAAAACTGAGTTAGCTAAATCTGCTGATGACAGTACCATATGGAGGAAAGGGAGGAACTTCTGTGAACTACAAAAGAACATGCAGAAGGCCTTAGACAAATTCATGGCATGGGCAAACGATTGGGGATTCAAAGTCTCGGAGAAGAAAACAGTCGGCATGCTTGTAAGCAGGGATAGAGGGATAAGCAGAATGACTCTGTGTATGAACGGGAAAACCATCGAGTTTAACGACCAAACAAGTTCCTTGGCGTAATCTTTGACCGAAGGCTGACCTGGAAACCGCACATCGACGAGACTGTAGATAGATGCACCAAAATCCTAAACTTAATGAGGAAAATAACGGGCAGCACTTGGGGGGCCAACAGAGTCAAACTAATGACGGTGTATCGTGCTCTAATACGATCTGTATTAGACTACGGCTCTCTGGCCTTCATGAACTGCGCGCCATTACTCTTAAGGAAGCTTGACACCATCCAATACAAAGCTCTGTGTATTGCGACTGGCGTAGGGCAAGGGACTGGGAGAGAGGCACTACTGCAAGAAGTCGGGGAGTTACCCCTATCCCTAAGAAGAAAAGAACTAGCGACAAGGTACTGGGCTAAGATCTCGCAACTGGGCGAAAGATCCCCAACCTTTGTCAGTCTACAAAATACAAGATATGTGAGAGATCCTAGAAAGAAAAGCTTCGGCCAGGGTATCAGGGAAACAATCCAGGAACTGCGACTGGGGGAGCTCGTGATAAATGAACACGACCCCCCAGCGATCGCCCCTTGGACGCTCCCTATACCGCCGGTTAATCTAGATCTACTACAGAAAACCGACAAGAAAAACAAACCCACTGCTGCACGTGCTTTCTCTCTAGAACACCTGGAAGACAACTGGCCGTCTGATGACTTGGACCATGTGTACACGGATGGCTCACGCAATCCTGAAAGGGGCACCAGCTCGTTTGGAATATACCTGCCAAACGGGGAACAGGGAATAAGCAGGAAACTGCCCAATAACTGTTCGGTGTACACTGCAGAGCTTGTGGCCATTCGTGACACTATATCATGGATTTCCCATCAAAAGACTAGTAAGTTCGTCATTCCAAGCGACTCTCTGAGCAGTCTGATTTCAATCCAAAATGACAACTCGGACTCAAGACGAGAAGTCATTTTGGAAATCAGGCAGCTGTACCAGAGGGGTTTAGAGAAGGGAAGCAAAGTAGAACTCGTGTGGATTCCATCACATGTCAACATAAGAGGAAACGAGGAGGCAGATCGACTCGCCAATGAAGGTCTCAAGGACACAGCACCACTCCGCACCATAGACTACAGCACCACGGAAATCTACAGTATGGTCAAAAGACAGGTCAATTCAATCTGGGAATTAAATCTCGTTGAACTTGACACATACAGATTCCGGCTGGATGACAAGGTCTACACAAAGACAACACTCAATCACCCTAGAAGAGATATTTGTAGACTTATATCGAAGCTAAGGGTGAAAGAGCGGTTGCGAGACTACAAACACCAAGTCATCATCTGTGAGTGCGGAGAAGAATGTACCACCAACCATGTCCTGGTAGACTGCGAGGTATACGAGGAGGAGAGAAGGGAACTAGTGAGAACAATGGAGACCAACAACATACCATTCAACACTAAGAACCTACTCTTCCCGAGACCAGATCTGAAACTGCAAATCTTCGGACAAATCCACGCCCTAATGGACACAGTTGGACTAAGTAGAATAGTGAAGTAAGAGGGTCACGGGAAGACGGGCCCGGCATCTAAACACTAAACTACATAGGGGATTTATACCAAACTGGCAGGATAGTGGAGTAAGGGGGTGTCACGATCAGACGGACTCGGCATCTAAACACTATTCCACCAAAAACAGACACCAAACCTACAGAGTGGGATAGTGGAGTAAGGGGAGGTCACGATAAGACGGGCCTGGCACCTAAACACAAACCCCACAAAGATGACATCTACCAAACTAGCAGGATTGTGGAGTAAGGGGGAGTTACGGTCAGACGAACTCGGCACCTAAACACTATTCCGCAAATAAAACTGATACCAAACCCAGAGAGTGGGATAGTGGAGTAAGGGGAGGCCACGATAAGACGGGCCTGGCACCTAAACACTAAAACGATGACATCTACCAATCCAGAAGCAGACGAGATCATCTACCAAACGATATGTTTTATATTAAATAAAGGGAAGAACTTCCCACTAAACCAAATCCATGGCCTAAGGCCAAATGGAAAGATTGCAAAATCATATTCTAAAAAACAGGAATCAGCTTCGGCTCTCCTATATCTTGTCTGCGATATCACTTATGTGGAAGCAGACGTTAAACACCAAGAACGAACGAACGAACTCGTAGGGGACTATATCTAGTACAAGCAACTAGTTCCAGAGGATGGCTGCAAGCGACTAGTTCCAGAGGGTGGCTATACGCGACTAGCGCTGATCGATAAAACTCGACTCATTTAAATACATGTAGACCTACCATTTATACTTAATATCCTCGAATTTCTTGGCTACAGAAAACAATTACCATATTGAAAAATTTAATCGAATGTTAATGAATAAACAGTTGATTCTATAATGACATAATGACAGGTATATAATGTCGGGTTAGTTATTGTAATCAGATTAGTATAGTTATCCATATAACACCTACCCAACTTACCTGTATATAGCTTATCAATGACAGGTGAATATTACCGGCTTAATGATTGTAACCACATTCGTATAGTTATCCGTATAAAACCTACCCAGCTTACTACCTGTATTAAGCTTATCAAGGAGTATGTCAACACTATTACCTGTTAACCTCACAAAGATACAAGCGGTAATATCCTATCTTGGTCAAACGGTTATACCCTATCTTGTCAAGTTGTCGAGCGACTCAAATAAATACTGAACATAAAATCGTGGTATGTAATATTTTGTTTGTAGGCCTGTTTTTCTCGGAAGTATATATCATTTGGCCTGAAAAGCTTATTGACATTTTGTTGCATGGCTTTCTTATACAAAATGGGTGATTCCTCATTAATCTATCGAGATGACTGAACACGATTTCCGATCTATACCTAATAAATCTGACCATTTTTCTACTAATTTAGAAAAAATAATTCCTCTGTATGCTGGCTCTGTCTGACACGTTATTTCTACATAGGCATAGGGGGGCAATCTCAGTTGTTGACGGAGCGGCGGAGACTATTGTCACCCGAAAATAATCTTTGTCACCCGAATTTTCAGAAGAATCATTCATTAGCTAAAATTAATTTTCCACTAATGATCATGATGCCGATCGTTGTCAGCAGAGCTGATAGTTGCTTAAAATTTAACAAAAAAATTAAATAAAATAAATAAAACATCACATGCTAATACATGATTGCTCCCATGTCGCTGTTTTGTTTATTTACAGTTGGTGACAGTTCTTTCTAATTAGTTAAAGACTGAACGATTTTGATTGAAAATTTGATAATACTACATGTGAATAATGAATTCAATGTCTACTGATCTATCTAAGTGCTTCAGATTTACACCTCTAATCCATACACTGCATTGTTTATACACAAACAGTTTCCCGCAACGTATAATTTATAGTTTATTTACTTACCAGTATTAATAATTAAAGTACACCTAGTTGCCACCGTCCCATTTAGTTTAACCGTACAACAGTGCCCTCCATATGTTTCTCTTTCCTTCCTGTAGTCCATTTTGCTAAATCTGGTCGTTTTGACATGCGTACTTGCTATAGATACTGACAATATGCCAGCTAAACACCAGACATCAAATCCTACCGAATGTCAAATACATAAAGGTGCGTTTATTTACTTAATTATATTTAATTAATAAGGTAGTCAACTTGTACATTATTAGTCTATCATTTTGTGTTTACTGAACAACTGAGTAATCATGGTATTGTAGAAAACTATTTGTAAATTTATCAATGTTGGGTAATGTTCGCTAATAAAGATATTTTAAGAAGGAGTAACAGATTGTATTTACAACAATAGATAATGTCTAGCTTATATAGATATTGTTTAGATTATAATTCACAATATAAGTATATATAAATATATAGGACTAAGACTAGTAATTATTGTATTAAATAGACAATCTTTCTCTTAATTTTGTCTGCGATATCACCTCGGTGGAAGCGGACGTAAAATACAACTAACTTATCATCATCTTAATTTTGTTTCTCCCCTCTTCCTGCATTTTTTGGTTGACTTTTTGGTCTAGAATTGGAGAAAAGGGTCAAATTTGCAAGTTCATAGCAGTTTTGAGTAATACTGATCATATGACAGCGGAGGGATAGGGGGTGTAAAGTGTATTTATGCAGAGCAGTCATTGTGTTGGAAGTGAGATTTTCACCCCAGTCAACTAAATACCCAACAACATGCCAACAATGTTATTATTCAGAGAAAATAATGCTGAATCCTATTAGTGGTTAATGTAATGGGTATTTAGTTGAAATTCTATTTAAGGAAAGGGGATTTCCAACCTCTGAATGTTATACGGATTCAGACTAGTAATTATTTGCCCATTGACTTCAATGTTAAATGGCTGTAACATCACAGGCTGTAGCTTTTTGCTCAACATTCCGTTTAGATTTTTTGCTTCGGGGATTTGATGTTGACTGGGGTGAAAATCTCACTTCCAACACAATGACTGCTCTGCATAAATACACTTTACACCCCCTATCCCTCCGCTGTCATATGACCAGTATTACTCAAAACTGCTATGAAATTGCAAATTTGATCCCTTTTCTCTAATTCTAGACCAAAAAGTCAACCAAAAAATGTTATTATTCAGAGAAAATAATGCTGAATCCTATTAGTGGTTAATGTAATGGGTATTTTGTAGAAATTCCGAATGTTCTTTATATTTAGTTGTATACAGTAACATAACTTTAAGGGTTTTATATTTAGATAAAAATAACATGAAATGGGGTTTATCGTCCTACTATATTTAGATAATGTTCTGATTAATTTTACAGGTCTATATATTTATTTCTCTTAATTATGTTATGTAATGTTATTATTGATTCTATTACAAAAATACTGCGACATTGCGATTAATTGCGTCCGTTCTTCATTCCCATATTGCGTTCTTGATTTGTTTGTGTGGAATGTTTTTATATTATTCACTCCCTGAATTTAGATATTATTCACTCACTGAATTTAGATATTTCTCACTCACTGAATGTATATAACACACGTTTAAAAGAGTTTTGAGTAAACAGACGAAACGATGTTATCAGGTAATATTATTCGCATCTCTACTGTAATTATATTGATATATCTTATTACTGGCTTTATAAACACAAACCGATATGGAATATCTTTTACTGGATACTAAAACACTTTAACTAGTTGATATAACTCATTAATTTGAAAATTAAGTAATATAATAAAATAAATCGAAGAACTTCTTTAAAGTGATAGCGCTTCTGGTTTGATTTTTAATTAATAACGCTGTAAAATGACCAATTTAATTACATTGGAAGGTGTATAATAATCAAATAAAGTCTCGTTGGCAATAAAAACGATGGAAAGTGTTAGAACTAGTGAGTATTGTGAGATACCAGACAAAATGTCGTCAACGAGTCAAAACAATATGGCTTGTGATATACTTTGTTAATACTGTAATATAGTCCAACATTCAAAGTGCCAGTAGAATCACGAGGCTAGTCACGGGGTGGTATTGTATATAATATATGTTTAATGGCCTCGTGCAAGCTATTGCGTAATATATCGATATAACCTCTTGTGCTGACGCAGTATATTACTTATTGTCTCGCACTCAACCATTAAAATATAGATCATGAAATAATTATGTGGGTTCTGAACGACGATGTTATCTCTAGTTGTCTTTTTGGCAGTAAGTTAATTTTAATTGAAGTTTAATTTATACAATTCTATCGTTTATTCAGCACTGTCTGTCGAATTAGACCTGATACCAGAAACACTGTCGTCTGGTAAACACCGTGTTGTCTCTAAAAAATAATTCATTTAACCACTGGCTTGTATATTAGATACAATTTCTTCATTGAAAATAATACACAACCAGTGACGTTTAACGCTCGACTATTTATAAATACACCACCAGGTCAGCGATTCATTTTAAGCGCATAATAAGCGTACAATAGATCAATAGAGACTTTTGGCATGCGCAAATTCCTGATCCGTATTGCGTATCCGTATCGATTTTGCGTTTTTATGAATCAATTAAGTAAATTTGCGCATGATACCCCCCCCCCCTGTTGTAATTGGTAATTGTGATATATTTTCATCTTATTCTGCTCGTAATATTGGCGCAATCTTTGATAGTTTTATGTTTATGGGAACTAGGGTTGCAAAGGGTGGGAAACTTTCCGGGAATTTTCAGGGTTGGGAATTTTCGGGAATTTTCAAATCTATTTTTAGAACTGAAAAATACTAAAATTATAATTATTTACTGGAATTTCCCTTTTCTCTTTTACTTTCATCTATATAAACTATTAAAACTTATTTAACCATGTTAGTTGTGTTCCAAATGGTAAAACTAAAGAGATAAATTTATGTAAATTCTGCTCTAAAAGGTATACAAAAAAATGCCAGTGTTGGGAATTTTCAAATTACATTTTTTAGAACTGGAAAGTACTAAAATTATAATTAATTACTGGAATTTCCTATTTTCTCTTTGATTAAGAGAAGTCCGTACTTAGATTTTTACAAAAAAGAAAGCAATTTTGCCGCTGCCTATATGCTAGATCCCAACTGTTACCGAAATGCTTTACCTCTTGGTGATATGGAAATTGATGAAGCATATGGATTCATTAGTTCCCTTGCATCACACTACAAACTTGAAAAGTTGGTCTGTATAAGATCTAATTTGAAACTCTTCGAAGCTGACAACGATCCTTCCAGCACAGATATTTTAGATATTCATGAGGATTCATCTGAACCTGAAATCTCCCTTTTATCCACGTGGCGATGATGATGTAGATAATGATTTTGAAGATAATGATGAAATGGCAGAGTTACCTAACTTTGAGCATTAATTATAGAATGTGTAACCTATATATAAACAATTTAACAAAACTATCTCATTATTAGTTATTAGATTTTAGTATAAATGACATATCAGATAATATGTTTTGTATCTTTTAGTTATTAAAATATTACTGTCACTTGCAATTCATTAATAGCGACACAGGTTTCAATTGAAAATTCCCAAAATTCCCGGAAAATTCCCCAAATTCCCGGGAAATTTACCCTTTTTGAAAATTCCCGGGAATTTTGAAACCCTAATGGGAACTCAAGTAAATAATATTTGTAAATTGTGCTATTTTAATATTAGAAATATAGGTAAAATACGCAAACTTGTAACCGTAGAAGGCACTAAGTCACTTGTTAATTCTCTGGTCACTTCTCGATTAGATAACTTTAATTCACTTTTAGTTGGTTTACCTTTAAAGCTTATAGATAAATTACCACAAGTACAGAATACTGCAGCTAGACTTGTTACTTTAACTAAGAAATGTGACCACATAACTCCTGTTTTATATAATTTACACTGGTTACCTGTTAAATATCGAATTGATTTTTAGATCTTATTACTTACTTTTAAATGTTTAAATAATTTAGCCCCTGTTTACCTCTCAGATCTTTTAGAACTTTATACACCTGGCCGAACATTACGTACATCAGATAAACTGATTTTAAAGCCCAAAACTGTTAAATGAAATGAAATGAAATGAAATGAAGTTTAACGTCCTACTGTTCTGCTCCTAAGCTGGGCTAATGAAGACGGGCATACGCCATACAGTGTGCTATGAGGGAAATTTTGCCCGGACAGCGGCACTACGGCCTACTCTTATATCGAATTCCAACTGCCAAGGGATCTTTTACGTGCACGCCAATGTGTACACGGGACCTCGGTTTTTCGTCCCATCCGAACGACTAGACAGCTTTCCTTGTCAGCCCCTCCGTCCTGCATCACTGACAAGGGAGAACCACGCCGGAAAATCTGGATGAACTGGATGAACTTTCTCTGCCAATGCAGGGATCGAACACCCGACCTCCAGGCTAGCGAGCTAGCGTCTTACCCACTTAGCCACGTGATCCCCCCAAAACTGTTAAACTAGTCTCTTATGGTCAGCGATCTTTTAGTTATCAAGCACCTGTTTTATGGAATAATCTACCATTTAGTTTAAGATGTTGTACATCTCTATATTCTTTTTAAAAAAACAACTTAAACACATTTATTTAATCAGGCTTTTAACTGACTCTGTATACAATCGTTAACATGTCCATAATCTTGTTGTTTATTTATGATTATATTGTCACTTTGTGAAGTGCCCCTGAACATGTTATATGAAAGGGCGTGCTATAAATAATAATAATAATGAAAATGTGTATCCTAGAACACGAATGTGTATAGTTGATGTGATTTTAACCATGATAAAGACTGGAATTTAATCATTATTTTTGATGATTTTAACATTTGATACATTTTGACATAGCCAGAGACCAAGGTACATTACTACAGTTCTTTAGATTTTTGACGAATCTTCGGAGATATGAGGCGCCAAATTTTGAAAATTTAAAGATAGAAAACTTTTTTATTAATGAATATTTTTTTATGGCATTTTGCACAGGGTTAAAGGGTAATCTGATTTGAGCAAAAAATGTCAACCTTTTTTGTCTCGATAATTTTCCTATGCCTAAAGCCATTTACTATTTCATCAAAGTAATTTAAGATTTTCATTATCACCGGAAAAACCAATTTTGTCAGGATCACATTTTAAGATTTTTCGCATTTTAATTTCTGTTTATGCGTTCTAGATTAATTATTTATTGCCGGATTTGTATAAAGGATACGCTCATATGCTCGGTGATGTAAATTCTCAACTTTTTGCTACCAATAAAGTTATCTGTCGACACCGGAAGTGACGTAATTTTGCCGAAAACTTTAATTTTGATGGGTAGGAATGTCTTTTCAAAATCAAATATTAATTTTTACAAATGTAATAACTCCTAAATTTCAATTTTGATTTAAAAGTGAAACAAAATTGTAAAAATGAGCTATTTACAATGCATTCAGGCTTTTCATATTTTAAAATATTTTTTTGCAACATTCAAAAACTTGTAACTTTAATGCATACGAAGACAATGAATGTGAAAATGGCGTCATTTGGGTAAAACTGTATTTTTAGCCTTCAAAACAAATGTTTTATTCAACTGAGTCGTATTTGTTATTTGTTTATAATAAAGATATTTGATTTCAATCCATATATAGAATGAACCTATGCGATCATATAGATATCACAAAATGGTTTCTAACCTGTTCAGTGGTGGAGAAATAGACGATTTTCAAAGTTTTTTTGTCCATAAAAATGTCAATTATTATTCGAATTTCATAAAATTTTCGCCATGTGATGCCTTATACCATTTACGATTTCATAAAACTAATTTAACATTTTCATTATTACCGAAAGTAATGTCATTTGTGAAAAAACTGTATTTTTAGCCTCCAAAACAAATATTTGTTTGAAGTAAGTGATATTCATTATTCGTATAGAATGACGATACTTGATTCCAATGGACAAATAATATGAATCAGTACACTCATATAAATTTCAAACAAGTTTATTTAACATCTTCCTTTGTCAAGAAATAACCAATTTTGTTAGGAACACTTTTTAAGGGGTTTTTTTTTGCATTTTAATAAGGCTTTATAAAGTGTTGATTCAGTTTAAATTTTAATCAATTTTTTGTCATGCAAAAGACAATTGAAGTGGTTATGTGGGTAACCCTGTATAAATATTTTGTTGATTAGGGAAGTTGTGTCATCGTCTCGTGTCTTCGTTGTATATATGGAACTGATATTGCTGGATTTATTGGCTAATTATATGTCCATTTTAAAACATGTGCGCAATGCTCATGTGGAAATCATTTTAACATTTCCATTGGTAAGGGAAGTGATGTCAGTTCAAGGGTAACATGGCACCATTGAAACCAGTCATTACTGCATCGCAGTTCTGGTTGTTATTTTTAGTTAAATTTAAGATATCAGAAATTACCTTGTATAGAAAAAGAAAATGATTTTTTGAGCGACGTATCGACTGGAATTATGCCGGTATGTCATCGAGTATTCAACATTAATATCACATACACCACAGACACAAAGAATAATAAGATAATACAAGAACTGACAATGGGTCGGTAGGTGTCACGTTGGCTCTCGATCTTAGGATCCTGTGTTAGATTCCTGCGTTGGCCGAGAAAGTTCATCGGTAGTTTCTGACGTGATTCCCGCTGACCTTGGCAGGACAGAGGGTCCGACAAGAGACAACGTATAGTCGTTCGGATGGTCGAAAAACGAGGTCCCATGTACACATTGGCGTGCACGTAGAGTATCCCATGAAAGGTCGAATTTTATATTGGAATAGGCCGTAGGGCCGCTGGCCGGACAAAATGTCCCCCATAGCACACTGTATGGCGTATGCCAGTTTTCATTAGCTCATTCGGAGCAGAACAGTAGGACATTTTCAGGAACGAAAAGGACAGATATGATATAGACATGCATTTTCTACACTCCATAATAATTGAAATAATTATTGTATCATTTATTATTTCAGATTGTAAAATTTATAAGGAAAGATTAATAATACTGTCTGTTTATGGGACAACTCCATTTAACATCTCAAGAAGAAAAGAAAACATATCGTTTAGAAAATAGTTATAATCTACAAAAATGATATAATGACTATGGCATGTCAGTTATTTAGACATTATTCAGTTTTGGACGTATTCGATGTCGCATATGAATTTTCAATTATTTTCATAGTATATGTAGAGTTGCGAGAAATTAAACAAAGTCCATTCTTAGACGAAACTTTTTTTGAAATTGAAATAGAGGACAAGATCGAACGAGACAAACCTTTCAACCACAATCCCAATAACGCAGATCACGTAACACCATTAAATAAACGTAATTATTGTAACGAACCATATTTGGATGAAAGTTTCCGTTCTTCCCTTGTAATACTTGTTTTTATTTTACTTGTCACTAGTCATAGTATGATCCGGAAACAATAAAACATTTGTAAAGTTGATCTTTTTATATCTATATATCCACCTAGTGAAGGATTTTAATCGTGTAAATAAAGGTTTAACTGTAGATATTTTCTCTCGTCTTTCAAGTATTTGTATTTGATACAATTACTTATATAACCGCATATAAGCACGCTACCGCGTAAATTATAGTTTTAACGTTAATTATAAAAATATTTAGCTTGTATTTTGTTATAACAAATTAAAATATTTTCCAATACTTTTAAAACCGCTATATAATCCAAATATTTATATTGTATTTAATTAAGATTTTCAATATTTAATATAAATAATCTTTTACTTTCACGTTTGAATTCTACCGTAATCAGTATATTTATATTAATAATACAACTACCGTAATCAGTATATTTATATTAATAATACAATTACCGTAATCAATATGACGAGTAGTCACCAATCACTTCCCCTAGACGTCTTAAAACAAAGCATCAATCAAGATTTACAGCCTACATCAGATTGTATGAAATATGAATGGATGAGACTAGGATCGTTTAAATCATTTCCTAGACAATCTGAAGGAAGACCAATAAAATTAGCTAAAGCTGGATTTGTTTTTACTGGTACCAGAGAAGGAGATGATACTGTCACGTGTTTTACTTGTGGTGTTACTAAAAATAACTGGTTGAAATATGAAGACCCACCCCAAGTTCACAAAAATCTGAACCCAAGATGTAATTTTATAAATGATAATGTTCCCGTATTAGTACCTGAATCAATCGTATATGATAAAATATGGACGACACTACATGAAACATATTGTGATGGAAACCGGGAAACACGAAGTTCATCACCATTCTGTACAGGTATCAACTCTAGAATAACAGATCCAACAATAAGACAAACATACGATATTCCACCTATTCTGTTAGAAAGATCAGATATAAACCAGGCCGTACAAGTAACTGACGATAGAACGGGACCAGATGTTAGGAGTAGAATGGTACTCAATCAATCTATGAGGTCAGAGATTGTCTTTGTCTGTTATATACTCTTCAAAAAAAGTAGGGGATATTCAGAAACAATACTTCAGTTTTTATTGGAGGTAACCAGTGTATGTTAATAACAGGCCAATTGTCTACACATGAACATAAACAGTTCATATGGGCGGCTTATCTGACGGTCCCATTTCACTCGCAAAGAGATACACTGTCAAAAGTGAAAATGGACGTTTTTGATTTTTGTCTTAATAATGAGTAATTGCTCCACCAATCCTCAGACATTCTGCAATTCGTCGTGGCATGCTTTAGGGCAACCTGACCCACTCCTCTTGCAGTGCCACAGCCTATTCTTGCAATGCCACGGCCTATTCTTGCAGTGTTGTCGGTTGACGTTGACGTCGACGAACAATCTCCCGATCATGTCCCAGACATGCTCTATAGGGGAAAGGTCAAGACTCATGCCCGAATCTGTCATGCTGTCTGACGTTAACGTTAGCATGACGCTCATTTACACGCCTCCAAACGCGAGCACGCCTATCGGTGAAACCAGAGTAAATCTGGACTCATCTGAGAGAACATTACACGCACCAATTGACGATTACCCCAATTTCTATGTTGCCTACACCATTGACACCTGTTTGCCATGTGCTGGCGAGTTAATGGAGGCACAACACACATGCAAATGGGCTGCATGTAGCCGATTTCTAATCGTTTGGGTTGTAACTCGAATTCCTGTAACTTAGTACAAGTTTACAGAAAGCTGATTGGCCGTTTGTCCTCGATTTCGCAGGACCTGTGTACGAATGTATCGATCCTGGGCTTGTGTAGTGGCTCTAGGACGAAATAAACGAGGTCTATCATTGGCATTGTGCGTTTGTTGGTACTGGTTCCACAGTCTGCTGATCACAGACTGTGACACATTAAGCATGTTGGCTGCTGCTCGCTGCGTAAAACCCATTAGAAGCATACCAATAGCACGTAGATGTTCATCATGTTGAAGATAGGCTAAACAGTAAATCTTATGCAAGAACCGATAGGAAAGCAAACGTTGATAGGATAAACCAGAACGCAGCAGTTTTCATCAACCCTTCCTTGAAGTGTCAAATTTGACAATGAACCCCTCCGACGTTTATGGCGCTATTGCGTGTCGCACGTGCAGCTCAGTGGTTCTGTTGGGGCGATAAGTTCTTCATCTGTGAACATACTCTCAAAGCATGTCAAGTGTCCATGACTATTTATCATATCACAACCTGCATAGGTATTTGCATTTTAATATCCTCTACTTTTTTGAAGAGTATATATTCATTTTTGAAACTGTATTGACCAGTCTTTTATTTAGTTATGTTTTTAAATAAAGACAAAATTAAAGAGTTCCCCTAATTTGTATACCATTAACAGAAGTCTCTGAAGAGCCAATTAGAAGTATTCCATGTTATTTATGTAATTTTGGTATTTTTCTTTTAAATATTACGGAAGACTGGTACCATACGGTGAATATTTATCAACTATTGTAAATCAACTTTACTCTGTTTACTTTCAGTTCTGCTAGTGTTGTATTAACAGCAGACTCTACCAGACATACTATGGTAGTAGAAGAAGCAAGACTTAGAACATTTGGAAACTGGCCAAGATATTTAGCTGTTAGACCTACTGAACTAGCACGGGCAGGGTTTTACTATCTTGGTTCCGCTGATCGAGTACAATGTGCCTTCTGTAGAGGTATTTTAAGAGATTGGGAAGAAGCAGAAAGTCCAGTAGCTGAACACTGGAGATATTTTTCTAGTTGTGAATTCTTGAGAGGAACGGACCGATCTAATGTTCCTATTATACCAAATGATAGTTATATACATGATTATGTATCAACTCATCCTCTGAGTTCAACTGATGAAGACGTTAGAACAGCTCTTAATCCACTGTCAACTATCTTAAAGAATGGAAATTTAAATCTAGTTCAAAGCGATGCCCCAGCAACTGCTGAAGATTTAGGTATCATTACCCAAACAGCTGCTCAGCCAGATAAAGCTATACTCGCTACTCGTGTGGCAACATTTTCAAATTGGCCAAGAAGATCGCCATTGCCAAGCAAAGAACAAATTGCTGAAGCAGGATTTTATTATCTTGGTAAGCATGTTATGATATGGTTTAAAAGAGACGAATTAAAAGAACTACAGTAGATAAATACATAAACAATAAAATAACGTCCAATTAAATAAAACAACTGTCGTCTTCGCATGTTATATAATACAACATACACTACGTCTTCACATGTTATACAATACAACATATCATATGTTATATGTTTTATTTTGAAATAAATTCATGTATGTACTGGATTCATGGGGTCGTCAAAACATCTAAAACCTGTAAAATATTACCTTCAACATTTTATATTATGACATGGGTAGTAATTGCTGTTCATATATTTCCAGAAAGGGAAGATGCTGTAAAATGTTTTTTCTGTGGTGGTGTTTTAAAATCTTGGAGAGATGATGATATCCCATGGCAAGAACATGCAAAATGGTTTCCTAAATGTCCATATTTACTGAGAATCAAAGGTGCAGACTTTGTGAACTCTATATATTATCCTGGTACCGGTACGGCTAAGGTAAGTCAACTATTGATAGTTATTAGGCCTACACGTGTTTCTTTATTTATCCAGCAACTATTAAGTTGATATTTATTAACTCGAGAGTTTCTTTTACTGACTTAATAGTGATTTTAGTTCACACTGGATGCTGAATTCAATATCCCTCACCCCATCCCCAGACGGGCATATGCAATGGACAGAATACCTCAGTTTGTAGATTCAAAAGGTTTTGGTGTGTGGGTAGGGATTTGTGTGTGTGTGGGGGGGGGGGGCATATACCCTATTAGTACGTTATATTTGGAGACAGATAAAACAAGTCCAATTTCTTCATCCACTTGATACCCTGACTATACAGTATTTTGTCTATCTGATCTTATATTTATAGTTTATAATTAATATCAAGGTATAGTCTACAATTCTACCCAAAACACTGGAATTAGCGCACTATATTATTATGATTAATTATTATTACTTTTTAAAATTGTTGTTTTAGAGTGTTGGGGATAATGGAGCTACAGGTCAGTCTATATAAATAACTAAAAGGCCAGCAATTATTCTCAGGCTTCAATTTATTATTTGTGCTGTTTAATAGTATACTTTTCTTTGCTTAATTGAGGAAGATGTCGTACCACATATAAACAAGACAACCCCATGGACAACACACCCCAAACATCAAACCTATATATCAGATTAAATAAATGGATCTGGGGACTGTAGTGGTACAGGTTTCACAAAAATGAAAGCAAACTATTATAACAAGGGAAGTAACCCCACTGTTGTGAGTCGTGATCGGCTATTTGTTACATGTACATGTATATGTTAGCATGTATATGTTAATAAGTAATGTAACACTATCAACAGAATATCACCTTCATAAATATAGAATATGACCATTCCGTCCCTCTGCCGAAGCGAGGGGGCGAGTGTGGGGGTGGATCGCCGAATGGTTAGCGCATGCGCGTTGCATCATAAGGTCTAGGTCTCAAAACACGTTTTATATAGCACATGTTATCGTAAGCCATTGGGTGACCGGTATGAATTCTATTTAATAAACGGTCAGGATGAATACAGGTCATTAGTTTGTCAACAACATGTGGGATTTATTAAATCTGTAACACAACATGTAGAGGTTAACAGTCTACATCCTATACTATCATTAACATGTGGTGTTCAATGGGCTCAGTACCTCTAAGTAAATATTAATAGTTTTATATGATAGAATATAGTCTAACTTTGATTTTGTCATTACGATGTTCAGGTAATAATGGAATGATTGTTCAACAAATGCTAGATCTACCCCTGGTGAAAGAGGCGTTGAAATTACAGATTAATAAAGCTCTTATAATAAAAGCCATAGAAAACCGAATGAGAAATGGAGGTAATTTATGTACTATCAATTAGAACGGATATACCAACTACAATACAACCTATTTGATCTGTGATTCCAGCCTTCAATTGGGGGCAAGGTTAATGACAAGCAATCACAACGTGCCTTGATGTATGACTGTTTATTTGCGAAGTCAAATGGCTTTGTATTTGTAGCTGTGCTTGATGTTTTTCTGAGCTCAAGTTAAAAGTAGGATTTCTCCTTTAATGTAACCAATCCACAATCAAAGGACAATGGCATCTTTTACATTCTTAAAAACATCCACTAGAATATCAATTTATTTAATGTAACAGAATACACGAGACTGTCAATTATTGTATTGAGGACCAACCACCGATTAACGCGTTAATCCCTATTGATTATAGGTTGAGGATTAAAGAGTTCATACAATTTTGTTTTAGGTCAAACTTTCAAGACAACATCTGAGTTGATTAACGATATTCTTGATTTGGATCGTGTTCCCACGAAACATGAAGATATCAAAGATGACAATGTAATGAAAACAGGACATCCGCTTGGCACAAATGGGGAGCACCGTGTACCTAATGATAGTTTGACTGCTGTAGTTGAGGTCATACCAGCAGAGCCAGGAAGATCAGATACAGCACCAAGGACAGGAGCTGAACCCAATCTACAACCAGGAGAAAATGAAGGTACTAAGATTCAAGTAAATTTAATACAGCACGTTGCAATATTTGTTTATGTTATTTTTATTTCGTTTCATAAATTACAGATAATTCAAAAGAAGCAGGTGCTTGAAATTTTATTCTTAATTTTCAGTATTGATGATTAAAGGGACAATAACACTGTTGCTGGCTTGACAGCTCCAGAAAATAAAAATAGCCTTATTCTAAGTACTAGATGTGTTAGTGTCCTACCTGTTGTGTAAATTATCCATTAAATCCTATTTTACTTGTCCAAATGGTTCAAAAATCCAAGTCACATTTGAAAAGCTTTACGTCAGGCTTTTCAAATCATTTAGTTGAATTTTTCCAATTTTTTAAATTAGGTGTGTTAAGATGAAATTTGTATCATCAATTAATTGGAAAATTGTAAAATAGTACAATCTGTTGACCAGAATAAAGATTGGGACATATTATTCAGTTACAACAAAAGTGGTATTGAGCCTTTAAAATGGACTATTATACGCCTACATCCAATCTGTATTAAATTTATATACATTATTTAAATTAGTAAAACGGAGAATCATGTCGAATTTCCGATCTGTATAAAATTTATTTCCATTATTTGAATTAGTAATTTTCGTTAATTACTTCTAGAGTGATGGCCCTTGTTTGACTTTTAGAGCATTGTTGGGACTCCAGCAAAAACAATATCATCCGATCTATATGTAATTTATGTGTTGCCTGGCCACCTGTCTTTCAAAATCATTGGACTATCCAATTTGTTTGATATTAAAGAATGTAAATTTTTCAAATATTTACAGAATCCTCGAAGTTGGTAAGGGAAAATGAAGAATTAAAAGAACGGCGAATATGTAAAATCTGTATGGATGCTGAATCTAATATTGTACTCCTTCCATGTGGCCATCTTGTTGCGTGTGAGTCATGTGCCCCTGCTTTAACAAAATGTCCCATGTGTCGTAAATCTGTTCGTGGAAGCGTAAAGACGTACTTGTCATAAAGATTGGATTCATCTGGATTCAAACAGGACAATTAATAAAATGTTGTTGTGTGGTGGGGTTGATATATCATGACGTCATCAGACAGCATAAACGCGTTAGTCAGGCAAAGAGACGAGAATCACAAAACCGTTGATGATCTGTATCCAAGTTTATATCACAGTTATTTCCTTTTAATCGAATGTTGTGGCAGTTGTGTACAGATCATGTCTTTCCCTATGGAAACTAACAGTTATGTAATTAATGACTAAATTGGGCAAAGTAGTCCGTCGTAGAACGACTATTCTAGCGCATAAACACAAATTAAGTACATGTAAAACAAATTAAATATTACAATGCATAAAACAAATTAACACCTGTGATATATCTACTGTATGTCTGTCATTAAAAATAATCTGTGATATATGTAACTGTATTTCTCATTAAAAACAACCTGTAATGTATCTTGTTGTATATCTGTCATTAAAAACAACCTGTAATGTATCTAGTTGTATATCTGTCATTGAAAACAATCTCTACTGTATATCCGCCGCCAATATGGTACGATGTGGGTAATAAACAATACTTCCGGTATTGAACTTTATGAGCGACTGTTTTATACTTATTAAAAAGTAGAAATAAAAATACAAATTTAAATTCTGTTTTGGAGAATCCGATATGGGTTGTGTCATGGGTTTTAATGCGGTATGGTTGGTGTCGTGTTATAATGGGTTACGAGTGCTTTATGGGTGGTGCGGTGTGTTATAATGCGTTATAGGTGTTGTCATGGGTTATGGGTGGTGTCGTGGGTTATGGGTGGTGTCGTGGGTTATGTGTGGTGCCGTGTGTTTTAATGCGTTATAGGTGTCGTGGGTTATGTGAGGTGTCATATGTTATAATACGTTACGGGTGTTGTCGTGGGTTTTAATGCGCTATGGGTGTTGCCGTGGGTTATAGGTGTTGTCGTGGGTGGTGTCCTGGGTTTTAATGCTTTATGTGTGTTGTCGTGCGTTATGGGTGTCGTGCGTTTTAAGATATTTAAGATATGTAGAGAATTGAATGAGTTTAACGTCTCGTCAACACAATACTTGAACCAGTTTGAAAGTGTATACAATATGCTGGCTGAAACTATATTCTTATGTTTACAAATTATTTATTCTAAATTCATAATTAAGACGTAAGTAAAGCTGTTGGTTATTTACGCATGTTTCAAGGCTAATTTCTTATTGTTTAAAATACACATTACGTCATTAGGCGCAAGTAATCGATCACATAATCAGGAATCTGTGTATATGAAAAGGGGAAGGCTTGCGCTCTACAGATAAGACATCGTGTAGATACCCCAGAGATCAGACACGCAGTTGATTCTTTAGGATATACCCTTCAGGTTCAAGAGACACCATCAACAGACCCCGTTGATGCGTAGGAGAGCTATGATGTAGTGGGATCCGTCAGTTAACTGCGAGTTTAGTGGGGTTTTAAGATAGACTGAGGGACATGTTATTTTTATGTAGTCTATGATTGTAACCTGTATATCCTGTGCTTGATATAAAATGTAGAAACGAATTGTTGTTCATGAGTGATAAACGTTTTAGCTGCTGATAAAGATACGTACACAACACGCGAAGTCTTGACTGTAGAGAATTACAATAATTACGCCCGGGACAAAAATAGACGATCACAGACTAACAAAGATCTGTAGCAGGAGCATAGGTCACACGTCGGATATAGCACCACCTTACATTACATATCCGACCGTCGACCAATAGTGCTACACAAGTTCCTCACAATGGGACAATTGTAGCCCCTCTGTTGGGCCTGCAAAGTTCATACATATTTCACAATTTCCGTAAAAAGCATGGGCTATACGTCGTAGCTCTAGAATGTAATCTCTGATGCAATCTGACTAAAATACAGATCTATATTTCGTTTTTTTTATCCTTTGATGGCCTCTACTACATGAAGATCTGACCGGTTGTAGTGGACACTATGACGTCGGACATTTGATTAACCAATCAGTGTTGATGTTTCTGTTGGGTTACCCACAGTTCCGTGCACCACACGCCAAAACCTCGCCTTAACAGATCGTTTCATCATCCAAAACGCGGGTTAAATAACAACTCTTCCAGATCCTAATGTAGTAAAGACAAGTAAAACAGAATTTTGAACTATAGAAAACAAAACGAAATAGGATCTGTGTTTTAATCAGTTTCATCTAAATCGGATAAAAATTGTGACCTCTAGATCAGTGGTGGGCAAACATTTTAGGAGAAGGGCCAAACACAAAGTTAAGAAACAAAGCAAGGGCCAAACAAGGATTATGAAATGTCATTATATTAAATAAAGTTATTAGGAACAAAGCACCTTTTCTCCGCTGTTTATTCGGCTCCATAGTTATATATTCAGAGAAAAATCTAAGCATGGCAACATATCAAACAATAATGTAAAATGAAAGTAGGCCCAAGTCAAGTGACGTCACTGAGCTATAAATAGACCTACAAAGATTATTGATCCTACAGTGAGTAACGCCTATGTTTAGAGTTTGGGCCCAACAATAAGCAATTTCGATTTTTTATTTCATTTAGAGATAAAATTACTCATAAATTTTCAGATGTAGTGGAAGGGTCTGGCGGGCCGGATGACAAGACTTCGCGGACCGGATTTGGCCCGCCGGCCACTTGGCATTCATGCTTTTATACAATTTGTGTAAAGGGGAGTGGCCATTAATTTGACCGAAAGTTTCTGTCGGACTCAACCATAATTATTATGTAATGGTGAAATATTTGAACGGTTTTGAAAATAAGATGAAAATGATGACCTCTAGAGAGCACACAAGCTAAAAACGTGATATTTCGTACAATCAGAGACCACGATCCAGCTAAAAACGTGATATTTAGTACAATCAGGGGCAATGACCCAGAAAGCTACGGTCCAATACGCGCCAATATCGAAAGGAATCCATCCCTTTGGGATATATCAAATTGGATGAAAATTCTAACCCCTGGGTGGTCCACAACCAGGCTATTACATGCTTTTAAGGGTAGCGACCATTTTGTTGGGCAGTTTCGGTCCGATTTTCACGAAATTTGAACTCAGTCGTAATTATGGTGTAAATGTATATATAGGAAGTGACAATTATATATGCGCCGAGAGAGAGAGAGAGAGAGAGAGAGAGAGAGATTATCACCAATCCATCACACACATACAGTCTTTAAATACAAACATACTACAATCGTGTATTAACCAAGCCATCACCTCGCATTATAGGTGGCATCAGATATTCCAGAGAGCATACCTTGCCTTGTGTATGCCAACCGTCACTACCAACTAGAATAAACAATTAAAGAACCCACCCAAGATATATTTTATAGAATAAAAGAACCCACCCCAGATATATCTTATACAATAAACGATTAAAGGACCCACCCCAGATATATTTAATAGAATAAACGATTAAAGAACCCAACCCAGATATATTTTATAGAATAAACGATTAAAGAATCCACCCCAGAATTATTTAATTGAATAAAACTGTCCATGTGAAATACACTTAGAACCTTAAATGCTAGGCCCGTGGAACTACCTTAAGTTATCCCGTGCAACTATCTCAAGTGCAGTTATGTCAGACCTTTTCGAAGATATTTTTGTAGACACACCCACGGTTCCACGCTATATTTACACCTGCATAATTATACCTACACCTGAATAATTATACCTACTAACACCTGAATAATTATACTTATTTACAGACAGTTTACCAATGAATTGCTTACATTCGCTTAATATCCTTCATATGAAAATATTATCTGAAAGTTAATTAGATCCTTTCTTCAGAAGTTACTGTTCACTTCACATATTGATATTTAATTTACATACTTAACGCCCATCTTCATTAGCTCAGTAGTACGTTAAACACCATTTCATTTTATTTCATTACATACTCAGAAGTTAAACTATTAAAGATACATTATGGGAGATTAGATAAAGAGCTGGCAGTTCTCACTATAATAGTTAAAAACTAGATAATGTAAAGGGAATTTGCTGAACATTTCAGTCAAATTGATCCACTCTGAAGCGAGAATTTTGCGATTGAATTTTCGGCCTAGCCTCGATCATCATTACTAATGTCGGTACGATAAACAACATAGTCTCGATTATCCATTTCATGATTAAATCATGAATGAAAGTTGAGCAGCAAAACGGATCCTAATCCAGTAAATATCGCAGGCTAGCGTTGGCATCGAGAGTTGATTATGGTCTGGATAGGTTTATTAATTTCTAATTAATAATTTAGATAACATTTCAGGCTTAAAGAAAGACCTGCAATAGGCAGATTTAGCTCTTGTATAATGTATGTTTAACCCGGGACTACTCCTTTAAAAGACTAACATGTTCTATAGATTCTACTTGAACTATAATTTGATATTACTTATTCTTGTCAATAATCGTACATTTCTCGGGACAAAAGATCGTTGCGTAACAGCTCGTTTGAATTCCGCTGTTATCAGAAAAATATCATGAATGATATAAATATGCAATGCAACCAACCGCTGTTCCCGTGTGGTTGATAAATTTCTATTCACGAAATGCCAATAACCACCGGGTTCCAGTCGATAATAGGCATGCGTATTGACGAATGTTCTGGCGTGTAAGCCAGACTGTTCATATTGGAGTTTCACTACCACAGGAGACGGAGTAGGACTATAAATAGTACAAGGACTAATAACGTTCTACCTACTGTATATATTCAACACTCTTTAATCTGCTGTGTAGGAATTATAATCAACCTAGCAGATGTTTCATTTATAGATTAAATGTAAGTATTTTTACATACGACAAGTACACTCTGTATGTTTAATACCTTGAATTCATCTGGTACGTTTCAAATAAAATCAGGCTATCCTCCATGATTGTACTTCAGTTTTATTAGGGTTTCACACTGCGTAGCTTGTGTGAAACACTATTGTTTTTGTTAAAATTATTATTCTTATTATTATTATTCTTCTTTTGTTTTGAGTAGATCTCAGCAACTGATTGTCGGATCGTTACGATTTCTTCGGTTTTATCGGAAAAGTGGGTGTGACTTAGAGGATAAAGCTATTTTGAACGTTCTGCGACAATGCGAAATGTCCGAAATCACCGAAGCTATCGTTTTTAGAAATATTGCAGTAATTTTAACAATAATCATTGGATTTTAACTTTCGATGCATTTTGGCATAGCCGGAGACGGGGCACATAGCTACGCTACTTTTGATTTTTGATTTTCGGCAAATCTTCGCAGATATTAGGCGCTAAATTTAGAAAATTTAAATTTTTACAAAAAACTTTTTTATTTATGAATATTTTTTAATCGTGTTTTACACAAATATAACGAGTCCTCTGACTTGGGCAAAAATGTGAAAATTTTTTGTCTCGGTAATTTTCCTTGGCCCCCATTGGCTAATTCAGTTTTTCAGTCCTAGATTAATTATTTATTGTTCGATTTGTATAAAACAAAGTTCATATGCCCCGTTGTCTCAATTGTCATTTTTTTTGTTACCAATAGTGTTATCTGTCGGCACCGGAAGTGGCGTAAATTGACAAAAAACTACAATTTTGACAGTTAGGTACCATTTTTCGAAAGCAAATATTATTTTTTTCAAATCTGGTATAACTGAAATTGTGCGCCCTTTAAAGGCGCACAAAATGTTGGGACCATTTTTTTTAATTTCGATTCCGTTTTCGGGCTATTTCGATTAAAAGGTGAAAAAAGGTGTAAAATTAAGCTATTTACAACCCATCCAGCGTTTTCATATTTTAAAATATTACTTCGTAACTTTCATAAACTCGTAGCAATAATCTATACGGAGAGAATGTATGTGAAAATTAATTTGTAATATGCGCAGTTGCCGAGAAATGGGCAATTTTGCATGAGTCACTTTTTACGCTAGTTTGCCTGTAAAAGAGTCAATTATTATTCGATTTTCATAAAAGTGACACCATTTGATGTGTAATGTCAATTTTAACTAGGTCAAACCAATTTAACATTTTCAATATCACCGGAAATGACGTAATTTGGGCAAAAATTGTATTTATAGCCTTCGAAACCAGTAATTTATTCAAATGAGTCATATTTGTTATTTGTTTAAAATTTTGATATTTGATTCAAATCAACTAATACAATGAACCCTTACGATCATATAGATATCACAAAATGGTTTCTAACTTGTTCAGTTGCGGAGAAATAGGCAATTTTCAACAGGTCACTTTTTAAGGTTTTTTTGTCAATAAAAGTGTCAATTATTATTCGATTTTCATGAAATTTTCACTGTGTGATACATAACGCCATTTACGATATCATACAAGTAATTTAAGATTTTCATTATCACCGGAAGTAACGTCATTTTGGCAAAAACTGTATTTTTAGCCTTCAAAACAGATATTTTATTCAAATGAATCAGATTTGTAATGTTTTTAAAATTATGATATTTGATTCCAATCAACAAATAGAATGAACTCATTCGATCATACAGATACCTCAAAATGGTTTCTAACTTGTACGGTTGCAGAGAAATAGGCGATTTTCTACAAGTCATTTTTCAAGGTTTTTGGTCTATAAAGGTGGCAATTATTATAGGATTTACATAAAATTTTCAACATGTGATGATGCTATTTCTGATTTCATAAACCAATTTAACATTTTCATTATCACCGGAAGTAATGTAATTTTGACAGGATCACTGACATGTAGCAAATGAATTGATTGCTGGATTTGGTTGTTTCTGCGTCCATTTTATTTCATGTGTGCAATGCTTATGTGGAAACCTGTTTAACGGTTTCATTGGTACCGGAAGTGACATAAGTTCAAGGGTAACGTGGCACCGGTGAAACCCGTCATTACTGCTTCGCAGTTCTAGTTCTTATTATTATTATTATTCTTCTTTTGTTTTGAGTAGATCTCAGCAACTACTTGTCGCATCGTTACGATTTCTTCGGTTTTACTGGGAAAGTGGGTGTGACTTAGAGGATAAAGCTATTTTGAACGTTCTGCGACAATGCGAAATGTCCGAAATCACCGAAGTTATCGTTTTTACAAATATTGCGGTAATTTTAACAATAATCATGGGATTTTAACTTTCGATACATTTTGGCATAGCTGGAGACAGGGCACATAGCTGCGCTACTTTCGATTTTTGATTTTCAGCAAAAATTCGAAGATATTAGGCGCCAAATTTCGGAAATTTAAAATTTTACAAAAAACTTTTTTATTGATGAATATTTTTTACTCGTGTTGTGCACAGAATTAAAGAGTCATCTGACTTGCGCAAAAATGTTAAAATTTTTTGTCTCAGTAATTTTCCTTGGCCTCCATTGGCTAATTCAGTTTTTCAGTCCTAGCTTAATTTTTTATTGTTCGATTTGTATAAAACAAAGTTCATATGCTTCGTTGTCTCAATTGTCATTTTTTTTATTACCAAAAGTGTTATCTGTCGGCACCGGAAGTGGCATAATTTTACCAAAAACTACAATTTTGACAGTTAGGTACCATTTTTTGAAAACAAATATTATTTTTTTGAAAAATTATATGACTCAAAGAGTGTGTCCTTTAAAGGCGCAAAAAATGTCGGAAGCAGTTTTTTTAATTTCTTTTTCATTTTCTAGCAAATTGGATTAAGAGGTGAAAAAAGGCGTAAAATTGACCTATTTACAACTCATTCAGGCTTTTCAGATTTTAAAATATTTTTACGTAACTTTTATAAACTTGTAGCTATAATCCATACGAAGAGAATGTATGTGAAAATTAGTTTGTAATATAAGCAGTTGCCGAGAAATGGGCAATTTTGCATGAGTCACTTTTCACGTAATTTTGGCTGTAAAATTATCAATTATTATTCGATTTTCAATTTTCTTTCGCCATTGGATGCCTAATGCCATAGTGGACTATGTCAAACCATTTTACCCCTTGCGCTGCCACCGGAAATGACGTCATTTGCTCAAAACTTAAATTTTAGCCTTCAAAAAACAATATTTTATTCAAATGATTCGTATTTGTTATTTTTTTCAAATTATGATATTTGATTCTATTGATCAAATAGATTGGACCCATACGATCATACAGATACCACAAAATGGTTTCTAACTTGTACGGTTGCAGAGAAATGGGCGATTTTCCTTAAGTCACTTTTCAAGGTTTTTGGTCTATAAAAGTGTCAGTTATTATTCGATTTTCATAAAATTTTCACCATATGATATCTTGTGTCATTTATGATTTCATAGAACTAATTTAACATTTTCATTATCACCGGAAGTAACGTCATTTTGGCAAAAACTGTATTTTTAGCCTTCAAAACAGATATTTTTTTCAAATGAGTCTTATTTGTATTGTTTTTAAAATTATGATATTTGATTCCAATCAGCAAATAGATTGAACCCATACGATCATACAGATACCAGAAAATGGTTTCTAACTTGTACGGTTGCAGAGAAATAGGCGATTTTCTACAAGTCACTTTTCAAGGTTTTTGGTCTATAAAAGTGGCAATTGTTATTCGATTTACATACAATTTTCACCATGTGATGCCCTATGTTATTTCTGATTTCATAAAAGTAATTGAACATTTTCATTATCACCGGAAGTACAGTACACTTACATGTAACAAATGTATAAAATGAATTGATATTGCTGGATTTTGTTGATTCGGCGTCCATTTTATTTGATGTGTGCAATGCTTATGTGGAAACCTGTTTAATGGTTTCATTGGTACGGGAAGTAACATGTTTAGGGTAAAGTGGCACCGGTGAAACCCGTCATTACTGCATCGCAGTTCTAGTTATAATTTGAAATTACTGTATCATGAAACCAGCCCCGTGTGTAACTCATCACGCGTATTACTTGCCTCATTCATCAGACACTAAGTTGATTTAAATATACCTACAGCTGTTAGTAGATGTTAGTAGATATAGTCAACAGGTATATATCTGATCATAATATATCATAGTAATCTACGTCATCACACATCATCCATTGATATTACTATAGTTAATATCCCCCAGTTTATTTCTATATGTTGTAATTATGTAATGTTGTAACTATGGTATAATGTATATCTGTTGGTATATATATATATATATATTACCCATAATATGTTAATATACCGTTATTTATGTGTATATGTTCATCTTAGTATACCGCAATGTATCACCCTGTTATGTTAATTGCTTGATCTTCGAAGGTAAACAGTTATGTACTCGTTACTGGCATCAGACTGTTGTTGATAGTATATGACAGTAATATTAGTAATATATCATATTATATTGTGGAATTGATTACATAACTCCAAGCTGTCCAGTGTAGCTTCAGTGTGAGATAGTATACACTGATAGTGTTGTTTCATGGTGCAATACAGTCCAGAAATATCACCATCAATAGTTACAGTTTTTCATGAATTGAAATGATGTTTACCTTTACTGCACCAGAGGCTAGAGATCATGCAGTGTGTCCACCAGACGGCTAGAGATCATGCAGTGTGTCCACCAGACGGCTAGAGATCATGCTGTGTGTCCACCAGACGGCTAGAGATCATGTAGTGTGTCTGGAATATTATATATATACACGCCAACTGAGCCCCCATCCTACACTGACAAAACGAAACCAAGCTTGTCCATACCGAGGTCGAACCCAGGACGCTCCGGTTAGTGAGCCAGGGCCTTTCTCACTGAGCCACTGTGGTTCCCAGAATAACATACACTAATAACAAATAACTAATAACATATAACATACCCTAATAACAAATAACATACCCTAATAACAAATAACATACATTAATAACAAATAAC